GTTACTTTTTGGAAGGCTTGTATTCCAAGCATAGTAAAGTCAAACCGGGAAATGACAGGATTAAACGTAATTACTCCACACATGTACCCGAAAATCGTGGCTATTATACAGTCTGAATTGTTACACATACGAGAGATCCTAAAGAGTTTTGAGCAATACTGCACCGTACAAAATAGTTCTTTATTCAGGGCAAGGTATTACCAAAGGACCTTTATACGCTTTATTTACATTATTCTCTCTTATTATTATTTCACAAATGAAACCGGTACAAGCTTTTTAAAAGGGCTTCTTTAAAACTAAAGTGTTGTGGGTTTAACGCAAGTGCAAAGATATGAAGTCCCAATCTTTGCCGAATGAATTCTCCATGTCCTGTTAAAATATTTCCCATTTAGAATGTATGTTCTCACAGTAAAACTGAAATGAATTGCAGCCAACCTTCAGACTCAAAATATGTTATTTCTCCCAGTAGACGCGTTTGATCGGAAATAGTAACAAATGAAACAGAGAAAGAAAAATAATAGTGACATAATAAAACCGTGGTTTTGAAAGGCTAATAAGAACCATACATTGATCCATTGTGTTAAATTACTTTTACTTTTTGGTCGATATGGACAGGAAAAAGCAACAACCTTGCAATTAATGGGTATAAAATTGCTGATATTTGCATGTTTTGATCAATGGAGATGTACACCACTTGCGAGAGAGAGAGAGAGAGAGAGAGAGAGAGAGAGAGAGAGAGAGAGAGAGAGAGAGAGAGAGAGAGAGAGAGAGAGAGAGAGAGAGAGAGAGAGAGAGAGAGAGAGAGAGAGAGGTAAGTTACCTGCCTAGATATGCCTTTTCTGGTTTTATTCTAGGGAACCTTTTGAACGAAAAGCTGATGGGTTACATTAGTTATTAAAACAACTTAATGAAAGGGAGATATTGTATCTTGTACAAAAATAATAATGGTAAAAATTTATGTCTGAATCTTAAAGATCAAAATGATAATCATTAAAACCAATAAAACTATAAGATCTGCAATGACTTGCTATTGAAAATACCCAGGGCTTTATGCTCAATATTCTGCCCCACCCTCCAACCCATATTCACTCCACACCCAACAGTGACCCCGACGGGTCATAATGCGCAATCCGATCAGTGTCTGAGGCATATTCCAGCTTTGGTTACATATATAGCAGTTTGGTTAGAAAATATTTGAAAATGTCATTGTAATTGAATTTTTCATATTCATTCTCTGAACCTTCATTCTAAGGGACTCCAAGTCAAATGACGGCCCTCTTGCAGATTGTTACCCTAGGGTCAACATAAGTACAAAGTTTTAAAAAAATTCCTGCCCAGTGGTTTGGGTAGGTGTTGTAACTGACAGATGGACGGATAGACTTTAGAAGTCAGATTATCTCGACGGTTTTATTTTGCAAACAAACAGTGTGGATTTCAAAATTATATATATATGACATGAGTGATCGTGTGAAATATGCTTATGTTTAAAATGTTGAGATCTCTGTCAATTGCATGTGAATGATATTACAAAGAAATGATTCTGTTCTTCATACTATACCTATTAAAATACCTGTTCAAATTCCCATCTGACTTACAGTACAAACTGAAAAGAATTGTTCTTTCTATACTAAAATATGCAACACATAATACAAGTATGGAACGATAGCTCAAGGATATTTCTAAATATTCGAAAAAGTGCAGACACAGAGCATTTTCGTTAGGGTTTAGTTACATTAAATAGCCAACCGCGATTCTAACGATTGCCGATTAAATGATGACTAATTCTCAAGACTTTGTTAAATCAATTGTTTTAATTGAAATAACCTTACTATCGTTTCCAGTAAACTTTAGTGTAATCAGTAGAATACAATTTATATACTGCACGTGTACTCTTCGTTAAGTTAATGAAACACTGGGAAAGATAGTTGTAGAGTAAAATACTTACTTGGCAGAGCAATTACTCGTGAGAGTGACCACTTCTAGTGAGTTACTATTTAAAAGTTATGTTTTCTAACTACTTTATGCAGTACTGGGAAAATATCTAATGTAACGTAATGACTCCACATTTTTACACACCTGAATATTTCAGACATTATGCAGACGGGATCATTAAACTTATATTAAAAAAATTGAATTTAACATAAAATTATTCATGGTACTGCCACAATACATAATCAACTTTGATAGGCACATCTCAACAACGAATGTGACGTATTTCAAACTTCGATTTTAATATAAACATCCATGGACCCAGCTGGGTTTAATGGCAAACAATATGAAGGAAGAATATTGCAAATTATGTCCAAAGGTAACCGATAAATAACTAGAAATACAAAGGAACAGGTGAAATCGGGAACTGAGTAAATCTTCACCGAGACAATTAAAGCAACTCACATGGCTCGTAATGACAAAAAATTACCCTTACATTGCACCCCTACCCACTTATTGACTCCACCCTCCATCCTGTGACGCAGAGATGGAAATCCAGTTTAGTTTTACATTAATATTGTATCATCTTTCTGCTTTTACAAGTACAAAATTGGTCAAAATGGTACTGGAAAAATGGCTCTTTACTTGCAATTTGTGTATTTTAGACCCTGGACTCTACTCTTCCCCAAAGGACCGTAAAAGAAGGGGCCAAAAATCATACTCCCCCAAACGGTGATCACATTGACATCTTATATACACAATTTGATGAAATTTTAAGGTGAAATAAGATAATATTAAGATAAGGTTAGAGAATGGCAGATCTTCGAAATGACATACAAAGCGTGTTGTAGAATATATATATATATATATATATATATATATATATATATATATATATATATATATATATATATATATATATATATATATATATATGGATACGAACACGCTGAGTATTGACATGCTTGCATCTGCAAGAAAATACAGTTTATTCTCAAAGTTTCAAAATTTTTACATCATTTTTAAATTTTAATTTTAAGTGATTTACAATGATGCACTTTTCTGTATTTCTTCGATTCAGTCCATCTTTTGGATTGCCAAATTTAACTGATCTACATTTCCTCACAGATTTGTATATAATTTTCGAAAAAACTTAGGTTAGGTTTCAAGATTTAAAGATTCGAAAGTGTCATTTATGGAGTCCGGTTGGTTGATGATAATAATTTGTAGCAACAGCTGACTAGTAACCGTTATTTCGAGAAAGCGTTCGAATTCTAACTCTAGATATTATTAACAAAAATGGATGCAAAAGGCTCCAAACCTATAATTTAAATAGATTATATCTGTCCTATCATTTTAAATGGAATACAATCATTCTCTCATAAATTTGAATGTAATAAGGGCCCTGTGTTATACATTTGAATGTAATAGGGTCCTTGCCTGATAAATTTGAATGTAATAAGGGCCTGTGTTATACATTTGAATGTAATAGGGTCCTTGCCTGATAAATTTGAATGTAATAATGTCCCTGTGTTATACATTTGAATGTAATAGGGTCCTTGCCTGATAAATTTGAATGTAATAATGTCCCAGTGTTATACATTTGAATGTAATAGTCATTGGCTGAAAAATTTGAATGTAATAATGTCCCTGTGTTATACATTTGAATGTAATAGGGTCCTTGCCTGATACATTTGAATGTAATAATGTCCCTGTGTAATACATTTGAATGTAATAGGGTCCTTGCCTGATAAATTTGAATGTAATAATGTCCCTGTGTTATACATTTGAATGTAATAGGGTCCTTGCCTGATAAATTTGAATTTAATAATGTCCCAGTGATATACATTTGAATGTAATAGTCATTGGCTGAAAAATTTGAATGTAAGAATGTCATAAAGTCCTTGTTTAATGCATTTTAATGTAATTAGGTCTTTGTCTTATAAAATTTATGTCAGTTATTACACAATATAATGTAACAACGTCCTTGTCTGCAAAGTAATAAGACTTTATCTGAAAATTTGAATAAAAAACCTAATTGTCTTACAAATTTGAATGAAAAAAACTAATTGTCTTATAAATTTGAATGACATATAGTCTTGGTCCTTTGCATACGTCAGTGTGAGATAGGTGAATTCCAATTGAGGAACAGACATTCTGATGATAAGCGATTTATTTTCTCACATTTTTGAACAAAAATGGCGCTCGAAGTCAAAAGGGTGTATGATAAATAATGATGTAACGTTCAAACAAAATAAAACCCATTATTTTATGTAGTTAAGATTAAACATACAGAGCTATGGTTTGGAACTGATTTTAATGACATTTAAACACATTGTAGTGTTCAAGGAACAGTGATTGAGATGGCTATAACAACGGTAATATACGGCATTCGAAATGTCTACTGCAGATATATGAAAAGGATAAAGGATAAAGTATATTCTCATCCATACGATTATTTGACAAAAATGATGATAGAGTATTAGAATCAGTTTTGATCTAGAATTTATGTAACATGCATAACTAATAATGGGAATATAAATATGGAATAAACAGCACCCTACACGAATTTGAGCAACAGAAGCTGTACATTTGAACAATGTGAAAATGTCCTGTTTGGTGAACACTTAACGTCAACCACAGTCAACTGTAGCACGTAAATTTGTTGCTTATCCTGATTATTATGAAAGAATACTCAAGCGGTTCTAGATGTATGGAGTTTTGCCGCATTGTGTTCTTTGCTTGCAATAGAAGGTAAAATAATTCCCCGAATTAGCATAAGGTCACGTGTTTGTAAGGCTAAAGATCTTTCGGTTTTGGTGCTCCGCCTTGAAAATATCGACCTGTATCAGGAGTGTGAGAATATCTGTTCGTAATACAAAATAACGGAATGGTCATAAGTTGGGGTTGTATAACACTGGAAAAATGGGGCATCATGCCGCAGATATGTAGCATGATGCCCCACCCAGTCACATTATCCCGACACCAGGCCGAACAGGCTTAACACTGAACTTTTAATGGTGAAAGTCAAGCGATGTAGCTGTTAGTACCATTTTGTAAAGTATTTGGTATGACTCGGTCGGGATTCGAACCCGCGACCTTTCGCCTCCAAGGCGGACATTTTAACCTCTAAAGCTACCTAAGCTGTCTGGCTAGATTGGGAGTGGCGCTGGTATATGAATGGTCGCTAGGATGGGTTTTACCTTATGTTGCAGCAGTTCGTAACCTTTCTGGATTGCGACCCAGATTAGGTTTGTGGTGTTAGCCTCGCCATCGATCAAGCGCAAAAAAACCCCCACTTGGCTAGGAAAATGTATAAATTATTAAGATTGGTCTCGACGACCCAGTTGAAACTGCATGAAAACCCAGTTTAGGGTCATGACCCTGGGGTTAATAACCACTGCTATATAGTATTCAGTATAGATGTATATTTGATGTTTCTATTTGTTTAAAACATATATACATTTGATTTTATATCCCGATATTTAAAAGTAAGCTTAGACACACCGAATTATTTCCCAAGTTTTGGGGCAAGGGAACGACTCAAGGAGTGTAAACTTTTTAAAGTAACGACTGAAGGAGGGTATATTATATTTTTTTAAAAGTATGGTTTGTGAATATTTAAGACTTGTCTGTATTTCTAAAGTGTAGCATGTAATTCTCACCCTAGAATTTCGCACAGTCTACTCGTTGTCATAAAACTGCAACATGATCAGAAGACGAACTTATGCATTTTGTTTTCAATCCCTTCAGTTTCTTTACTCCACAAATTAAACAATCCCTTATTTTCATTGTTTTCTAGCATAAAGATCATATTTTGGATGCCTACAATTTTCTTACTTGGGAAAAGTTTCTCTTTATAGCGGATAACATACACGTTTGCTAATAGAAAATCAATTCTGCTAATCTTTAAAAGTAAGCAAACAAAAAAAATTGAGTCCGCTTACAACATTAGAAAAATTCTAATATCAGAAGATAAACTTGATCTAAGTATTCAGGTTTCAAAACTTAATATTTGAAAACTATGTCCAATATTTATCCTAACCCAAAAACCGCAGTTTTACTGCAAAATACAAATGTATTAATATGTATTTTCACATACGCAATAAATATGCAATAAGAGAAACTTAATATTGACATCTGTTCTTGGATAATTAATCGTACATGATATGCATAGAGTCGAGTTCCATCAATAAATCTTCTTTTTTGTCAGTTGTTACACAATCGATTACAATTTCAATGTTTGATATAACTAATGTTGTCAGAATCTGGTTTACAAAACTATATCCATACAGAAATGTTAAATATCCCTGCAGTTCAAAAACTACCTAACTACTGAGATCATTAGAACGGTAACCTAATACCGCAGCTTTTCTTGCAAATTGATAAATCATTTTAACGTATTATGCAAAGAAGCTTAATAATTAGAACATGATAAAACTAGATTTAAATAATTGTGTTCCCATTTTAAAAACGTGGGAAAAGCATATTTTTGTATTTTTTCACTCAGTAGGTGTTCCAGACTAGAAACAACTAATAATACATGAACCAAATGATAAACGTTTAAGCCTGATTTTTACTTTGAAAATGTTAAAGAAAGAAAACTCATTTCACTTGTACTGCTTCCATCAGCATTGATGCATTTTGTTATCCATGCTAATACAATCAAGAAAGGAAGCTTGCTAAGTCGCAAGCAATTTTGATAAAGTTTAGGGAAACATACAACTGTTTCCTAGACTCCGATACTTTCTCTAGGATCATAATTCAAAATCACAAAACATTGATAATATATTTTCCAATGTTCTGTTATAATACAGAAATAGTACGTATGCCAAATATTTTAAAACTCTTGACCAATTTTCCTTCTTCCATCCCATTTAAAATCCCCTCCATTTCATCGGTCACTCGTGCCAGCTTGACAGCGAAGTCACACTAGAAACTTTGATGAGTAACAGTAAATATAAAATTGATCATGATTCATTTTGAAAAGAACGATTTAGTCAGACACGAATTTTTGCTGCAAATATCAAATTCTAAACAATGTATCAGGGAAGGTATCCTTGGTTTCAACAGAGGGGATTATCCCTGGAGCCAACATAGTGGAGTTATCCCTGGTACCAAAAGAGGGAAGGTATCACTATATCCAATAGGACAAAATGTTTTATTATGAAGTGAAGTTAATTAGAAAATCTTCATTATCTTAGTAAAACATTAAAGAGTCTCTGTCTCTCTCTCTCTCTCTCTCTCTCTCTCTCTCTCTCTCTCTCTCTCTCTCTCTCTCTCTCTCTCTCTCTCTCTCTCTCTCTCTCTCTCATGCACACACATATATTTACCTTTGAGGAAGATTAATCTAAGAAAGGTGTAAATACACAGATTCTCAAAGTACATAATAACCCTCTTCTTAACAGCCTGTTAGTTTCTTATTCTTATATAAAACTTTACAGTTTATGCAGGTAAAGCCATACTTCTTATTGACGCAAAGAATTTGTAAATGAAATACAGGTCGTAGGATGGAATAAATTTGTTAGATAAGTTTTCATTCGTGATAGAATCAAGGAAGATAACGCATTAAAGAAAACAGCTCTTTTAAACTGAGTTCGTAAATATGCATTAAATGCTTTAACAATCTAAAATCATTTATCTTATTTTACAAGAAAAATTATTATTTATGTGAAACTTGTTAGAAAGATATAATTTTTAGCCCACCTGCATTAAATTTAAGAACCAAGCCCCCAGCAATGTTGAAAAAAAAATGGATTAAATGATCTACAAGTACAACCCATAGTTGTCATATTCATACGATACTGGAATTAAAGAATCCACACATGTCCAGGTTTGCAATATCCGATTCAATATTAAAATGAACAAAAATAAAAATGTTTTATTTACTAGTTCGTACATACATATTCAATTTATATCAATGATTGCCATTTATATTTTAAAAAAAACTCGTTACTTATATGTAATAAACGAGATTTATATTATGTCAATTTTACTTCTTTTGATTGATCTTCAATATTCATTGTGCATACTAATTCATGTATTCCTATTAAATATTTCCCACAACATTTGACACGCTACATTAACTTTCTGGGGACAAGTAAGCATTTGAAGTCTTAAATCACATGGAGATAAGCAATCACTGTTCTCAGCAATCAGGACTATACAAGATATCCCTACGGCTAGATGGTATACACGAATATGACACGCTCTATCTGTTTACCGAATCCAATATGGCCGTCCCAGTCATATATCCGTTAACTTCTCTGGCTGACCCCTGGTCACCTGAAGATGTCAGGGCGACTAAGCAGTGGATAGTTTGTGTATACAACATATTATTAAATCAATTTCCTCAAGTGAAATTAGATTTGATCACTGAACATCCATATATCTGTTAACAAAATATAATGAAACCTGTCTATAAATAACACTCTTAATCAATATGGAATCGGTCTTTATAACCAGGTCATCTTTTAATACATGTTTTGATTTATCTGTAAATGGGTCTCATACACCTTTACCAAATGTTCTTTGTTTACAGCCCTTATATAACAGTTACTATAGGGATTATGAGCTTTATTTATTTATTTATTTGTGGAAGTTACTGCTTATATAATTTATTGTATCGTAGAAAGCTTGGTATCGAATTTCTTTCCAATTATTAGCAGCATTACAGGCAAAACTTACATTTGGAGAGCGATACGGCTGCTGTACTGTCCTATACGAATATACACTGTTTGAATAAAGACTAAAAAAAAAAATAAATGTGTATAGTTACGTTAGTCTAATTATTGGCTCTGTATTAAATGGCACAGCAGAGAAATAAAACCCTAAAAACCTTATAAAACGGGTAAAATGTCAGTAAGACGATCTCTACCAAGAAAAAGAACATGATATGCTTTATGTTCTTGTAATTGTGACATAGAATGGGCAATGTTTGACGTCAAGACGTATTCATGTTATTTAGAAAATTACAAAATCTAGATCAGCTGTCGGTATGACTATACGATCCTTGAGATTAAGAAAAGATACATTTTGTTATGGTTAAGGAAATTATTGAAATTTCAGTACTTAGAAGAAGGTTTAATAATACGTCCATGTAAATTGTGGTAAAATTGCACATGACATTTTTCATTTAATTAGTCTAATAATTACAGATAGTGAAAAGGAAGTGTTATTCAATGATATTTATTTTCATTTCCATCCTAAACAACTATATTTAAAAAAAACAACCTTCTTATACCCTTTCTATAACTGTACCGATATAAATTACGCCTCTCTCTCTCTCTCTCTCTCTCTCTCTCTCTCTCTCTCTCTCTCTCTCTCTCTCACACACACACACACACACACACACACACACACATATGTATGTCCGTTTGTAAAATGTGCAAAACGGGTACATCAGTCCGAATACAGATACCAGGGACATATTTCGAAACAGTGACGTCCCCGTTTTGTAATAGTGGCAGAAATGAATTGCAAAGACATTACTTAGTAACAAAACTTTGAAAAACGTTTATCTGAATTCGGTCGGTATTTTTTTTTTCACTTCATACCATACGTAAAAATACACATGTCGTATCTCGAATCAAAACATCGTGTGTATTAATTTTAAAAAAACCAGCGTCCCTCTTTACGCGATTATATTCTCAATTGTCGTCTGCCTTTTCGCGTACCTTGATACTCAATAATGTCAAGAAGATCTAACTGATTCCAACCAGAAATGTAATGATTGCAAAATATGTAATATATTTTATTTTTAACAGAGGGGAAATCGATTGTGTATTTATTAAAATATGGCCAGCCGTTCGTAACACACTTTCGCCAAATTAGGCATATAGGAAAGTAATGATAACTAAATAGACAATTTTGCGAAAATATTGAACACTCCTTTTTCCAAATAAATTGATAAGATTTATGCACATATTCTGCAGAAAAATTACGACGGAGAGAGATTCTAGCATTCGAATCCGCTAGTACGTTTCATCGTTTAGTTACATTTGAGCCATCCGTGTTTCAAAAAGTGTGCCACAGATACTTTAAAGCACAAGTTGGCCTCATCATCCATTCACGTGCTCGTGTAAATCAACCAGCTTTTGATCATGATCATCATACAAATCTAAGGACGAGCGGCAGCAACAACACT